ATTAGTATTTCCATTCCTCCTAACTGTACATATTTAATTGGATTTTTAACCTTAATATCTTGTATTTCTTTATTTATTATTCGTTTGTTTATTATTGGTATTTTAGCCTTTCCTTTGGTGTATTTGCAATCTATGATATGTTCTCTTTGACTCACTTTGGCCTTCCTGGTATTGATTTAACAACTAGTGGTTTCACATGAGGATTTCTTAAATCAGGCCACATGTTCATGTTGGTCAATGGTTGAAGGTAATGATAGTAGGTTCTTAGATAAGTCTATGTCAAGATCTGAGCTTATACCCTGGACGTGGCCAGCACTCGAGAACCATTGTTGGTCCCCAAGCGAACCCTCATCCTGGATGACTGCAAGAGGAAGACTAACTCAAGCATACATAAGCATTAAATTGAAAGAAACATTTAAAAACAGTATTGGATCTCAAAACTGAACTGAATATACTGAGTATGAAACATAAGTTTTAAAGAAAACATCTGATACTCAAAGACTCTCTAAAACTATCTATCTATGAAGCCTCTACTACACAAAGATGAGTGTCGGACAAGACACACAACTCCTCAAGGGAACTACTACTAACAACTCATAAAACTGGAGTCCTTCGGAAGCAAGGAGGTCTTACTCAAAAGCAAATAAAGTGATCTCAACGAACTCTAGCTAAGGATCCTAAGAACATTTATCTGCATCATTAAAAAATGCAGGTCGAATGACATCAGTACATTGAATGTACGAGTATGTAATATAACTGAATAACAAATAACTGAAAGAAAGGACTGCAATAGATAACAATGTACTCAAGCTGAATGTAAAGAAATAAAGGATTTAAATCATTTAAAACTTTACAAAATACTTTCTCATCTCTGAAGTCAAACATAATAAGTGATATATAAAAAATACACTTTAAACTCTATTGGGAGATTCTCTAAACCGACAACCACCACTATGAGTTATGTGATGATACAACGTCTCGCCCACTCTGACATACCTTGCCGGGTATAGAACACCTCAACTAAGTGGATCCACTAAGGTCTGCCCGAAGGCACTTAGGATTCATCTAAAAAGTATGATCTTGTACCCATGTTGGTATACATGGTTTATGAGAATTGTGAGTTGTCTGAACTCACCCTCATATCGTAGCTTAATATTACTCCCAATAATATATACTCGTGCTCAATGTTTAAAAACATACTCTTCATATAGTTTGAGATAATTGCTCAAACTATCCTCTTAAAAGAGGTAGCTGCTCTTGAAATATCTTTGAACTACATAACTCATTTAGAAATCAAAGTTTTTCTTTTATCAATGTAAAAATTGATACCTTTGGGAATACTTAGTTCCATTATACTCTTTCTCAATTCATACTTCAAAACTCTTTCTCAAAAATATATCAAAATCATATTGTGATATGATCATTGATGACTCGGGAAGTCACACTGCATAAACATTGATAGTATATCTAGCTAACATACTGCTTAAACATTGATGGCATACTCGACTGTCATACTAATCATGTCTTAAAAACTCTTTCTCAAAACTAATCTTTACTTTCTCAAAAACTCAGTTTAAAACTCAAATGTTAGCTTTAAAAAGCTTCTCAAAATTTATACCTCAATTCATAGGGTTCATGCGGAATTATGGACATGAACGACTCAACTCAGGGGTCTTAATAGCAATATGGAAACTTAGTACTCAGAACTCAAGGACACTACTCATCTCAAGAATACTCAATTCATAGGGTTCATGTTAAAATATAGACATGAATAAATCAACTCATGAATCATAATTTATAACATATAGAAATTCAATAATTAGGAATATAATTTCAAAAAATAAATAGGAACTCGAGAACTCAAAATCAACTCATCTCAAGAATACTCAAATCTAGGGGTAGAATCCTAGATTTCTCTTTTACTGATTTGAAAGTAGATGTAGGGCGTGAGGACAAACTAGTCCAACACTATGATATCCTTACATACCTGGAAGAACAAGTTTCTTGAATAATATTTAAGAAGAACTTGATTAGAAGCCTTGAAACCCTAGCTTGAAGGAGAAAAATCAAGAAAACCTTTCTTGAGATTTCTTGAATTAGTTTCTTGAAACTCTATGGCCAAGAATTATGATTTTCATTAGTGATTCATAATTTTATGGAGGAATTTGAGTTGGAAAGAATGGAATTCTTGGAGAAAGACTTACCTTGAAGAAGAATCTTGAAAAGGATTGAAAGAATCTTGAATGGAGTCTTCTACTTTGATTTTTCCTTAGGGTTTTGCTTTAGGGTTTTTGAGAGAGGAGAATGATGAATTAAAAGATGAAAATTTGATTGTTTTGGGTCTCTAATTAGTCAAGAAATTCGTTTAGGATTTTTTTAGAGGTAAAAAGACAAAAATGACAATGTTTGATGTTTTCCCGTCGGCTAATTCGTCACTACACTATATCAGGTTACTAAAATGGTAATAACTTTTTACTCAAAACTCAGATTATTGCGAAATTGGTGGTGTTCGAAAGAAGATTCAAATACCTTTAATTTTATAGGTTTATGGGCCATGTAACTCTTTATATTCTAAGAGATATGGTCGTTTGAAGTTGACCCAATTAGAATCTTACATCAAAATTTAATCGGTAAGGAATCTTTCAACTCAACTTTGTGCTAGAAGATTCTAGTGACCTTAATTGATATCCAAAATAATTCACACACTAAATAATTTACCTTTACATATATAGGCAATTTAAGAATCACCTGGTACGATCTTATTCACAAATGAAGAATTGTTCGGATCGTAACTTTTAATTTTTTTGGGGTGTTACAGTCTCCTTACTATAGCGATTATCAAGAAAGTCAATTGGTTCCCATTTCGTGTAAAGGATGTCAGTAATGGCATTTGGACATGATATTCCCTTGAGCATCCATAATATACTTTGCTATATTTTTTTCAATAGTATGGACATAAGATCCAGCAGAAATTTCAAAGCTTGTCTATGCATTGGAATCAGTATGACATCTCATTGACTTTTCTATTTTTTTTCTAGTACTCTCAATGACATTGGATAAATGTTGTAAATGTAACACCTCGGCAATTGGAAGTTGATTTTGGAAAGGAAAAGTTGCATTTTTAGCACTAGTGCAGGTTCTAACGAGCCTACCTATGGATCGTAGAAAGTTCTACGGGTCATAGAAAGGAAGTTGTAGGAGTTGGGTTAGAATTTGGAATATCTCAAGTCTAATAAGAGTGTCTATGGACCCACAAACGATTTGTAGGAAGACGATAGAAAGTCTTACGGACCATAGGTCCAACTGTAGAGACTGGTCCACAATTTTAGTTAAGGGTTATTTGGGTCATTTCCCATCCTTTTAACTCTTAAACTACATCATTTTGACCAGAAAAATAAGTCCTATAACTACTTTTACTCTTAAAATCTACCCATTCCATCCTAAATCACTCAAACCCTCAAATCATCTCAAGATCATCTTCTTCAATTCTCTCTCAAGGCTCTCAAGTAAAAAGGTTAGGGTTTCCTAAAGCTTCAAGGTTTCTTTTCTACTTTTTAGGGCTTTGATCACCAAGGCATGTAGGAACTTCACCAATGTATCTCATCCATCCATTGAGTCCCAAAAGAAACTCAATTCCTCTTTTGATTTCAGCCTAATTTATCTGGGGTTTCATGTAATTCTTCATGGGTTTAATTGTCTATGATTCAATTGTCTATAATTTATATTTATGCATGATTTTATTCAATTACATGTTTTCCAATGAATTTCATATGAACCCATGCTTATTGCTTATGTTATGGTTATGAAATTATGTATGTTTCATGAAATTGAGGAATATATGAATATAGGATGATTTTAGATAGAATATCAATATGATTTGTGAAAGGTTTTCTCACTATAAAAGATGATCATGATTTAGATGCTTAGATAAGTGTCTATATGAAAATGTTATGAAATCATAATTTTTGAATGAGCATTTCTATGATACGTGTTTTATGATTGGATTGGTAGTACTAGATTCTCAATTTTCCAAGTATTATGATATGATCATGATTATTTCTGTTGGGATTTTACTTAGCACCGAGAGAACTTTTGAATGGAGTCCCTACTGCTAGTAGAGGTTCGGTCTTTAGAAGCAATTCTCTTGTCCCTAACCATGTGTCCCCCTAATATTTATCTTAGAAAGACATAGCTAGTGGATTCACCTAAGTTTATATGTATGGTCCTTACCTTGGAAAGTAGGACAATATTTTTTCGGTGTGGGAAAGACATCGAATTCCATGTTATAGCTCACATAGTTTATCTCAGTTAATGGTAAAATATCCCACAAAAGAACTATGATTTTACTTCAAATGATTTATGATTTCTTCAATGATTATGAATTAAGTTTTTCTCATGATTTTCAAATAAGCATTGTCCTTGTCCGATGATTCATGATGTCTTATTGAGCTTTAATATATTTTACTTAGTCATGTATTTCATGCTTTAAACTCGTTATGATATTATGTTTATGTTTTATGCATTTTTTTCATACTCAGTACATTCAAAGTACTGATGCATATTGTGTCTATATTGTTTCATAATATAGGATCTGACATTCCTCCTTTTGGTCGTGGCTAGATCGGGATTGCACTGCTTCCTGAGTGCTAGTGGTGAGTCCTCATGGTTCGAGAGAGAGATCACACTCAACAGTTTATTGCTTTTGATGTCATTTTTATCTTTTATACTTAATTCGTAATTTAGGTGTTTGTCCTAGCCATATTATGATTAATAGAGGTTTTGTCAAACATAGTTGATGTTCCACGTATGCTCTTACTACAACATGCTTATGTCAAGTAGCTTGTTTAGGACCTCTCGAAATCTTACTCATCATGTCACATCTAGGGTGTACTTTGATTCGTGACAGTTTACCATGTTTCTTGAAATTGAGGGAATTGTCCTAGTCTAGTCATTACCTTCACCTTTTTCAAGCATAGTTATAATGGTTTTATGCCTTGGAGTTAAGATCCAAGAATTAAAGTTTTCATCCATATTGTTATCTATAATATCACACTTAACATCAGTCCTAAAGTACATTTTACACCAAGATTGTACATTGAAGTAAAGTAAATCTTGAACAATATTTTTGTTACGTAGAAATGTCATTTGGGCTAGATATGCCTTCAATTATCCCTCAAAGGTGCTTCTTGAACATTTCCAGAATTGATTCCTTCTTTCCAAACATCTCCAATGGTTTGCCCAATTAGCAAGGATGTATATTGCACACATTCTATACTTCACTTGTGATAAAAGATCCATGATTGTTGCTCTATGCCCCTACAATGAACAAAAAGACATCACTATTGTAGTAACAAAAGACATGCAATAAACATAAGTAAATGAACAAAAAAACACAACTTTTGCATGCCTGAAATAGTTGTGTAATCTCTATCATCTCCTAATCCCAAGTCCTCTATCAACAATTTCAAAAACCATGTCCATGTGTTCTTGTTCTCATACTCTACTAAACCACATGAAATAGACAACATATGATTATTGGTATCTTTAGCCACAACATCCAACAATTTTCCTTTGGTTACTCCCTTCAAGAAACATCCATCTAAACCAATACATATCCTACATCCACCCTGAAAATCTTTTCTGCAAGAATCGAAACATATATAAAAACTCTGGAAAAAAAGCTTACCACTACCTTCAAAATCATCAACTTTTACTACACAAGTGCTACCTGGATTAGTCATCAACAATTCATCCCTATAGTAAAAAAAATTTACCAAACTCCTTTCCATGATTGCCCATTAGTTCCTGTAGTATTCTCTATCTTGCTCTACTAGCAGTAGTCTTTCCCACATGTATTCCCAACTCTATTCTTATCAACTATTGAAATTTGAAAATCCTGATGTTTGATTGCTCACTGAATCTTTCTTTATACTGCTTGTACAAGAACTTGGCAAGGCACATTAATTTAATTTGGTCTTGACATACATATGCCTGAGATAGTAGGTTATAATCACAAAGTTAGTGACAGCTCTATTAAGACTTGCATATAACAACCAAGGACACCCTTCCCTACCTCTGACCCTAACCTTTTTGGGCTTATTAGTGAACTTTTCAAACTGGACACTTTTTTGTAGTGAATATTTCATAACAACATCCCTAAAATCATTTACATTCTCAAAAACCATACCCAACTACCACACAACCTATTCGGCAGTTTTTCAAAAATTGCCTTTCTTCTATCCCTCCTTATCTCCTCATCTAAATCAGCTTTAATATTATATGCATCAGAACGACAATACTCAGACTCATTCCCAACAACTTTACCTTCTAAATTCTTATCAATAGGCTCAGTCTCATCAAAACCCAAATTTGAACCAACTTCAGCAACTAAAACTTCTTATGGCTCATTTGGTGTTCTTTCTCTTCTCTTACTCCTTTGGTATGACCTCCTCTTAGCCCTCAAATTTATATTTTTTTCATGAAAATCACTTTCATATTTATCATCACCTTCATTAATAAATCTTGATGGTCTGAATCTAAACTATCTTCAGTTGACTAGTCAAAATCTAGCACTGGATTGTCGTCATCAGCAACAACAAATTCAGTCTCAACAGGTGCGGCATTTGGATTAGTTACTGGTTGAGTTAGTTCAGCAACAACAAGCTCAGTAGATGCAGTAGTTGATGCTTGAGTAGGTGCAATAGTATCAGGTTCAGCAACTGCAGAACTTTGAACTTTGAGAAGCTATTGGTTAAGTAGTTGCAACTTCAAACTCAGTTTATTCATTAATATGAACAATCCTATCCCCTTCATTGTCTCCCTTGTCTCCTTCTTTATTAAAAGCACCAAAATATTTCTCATTGGTAGGAGTGTATTCTAAAAAACTAATGGGGACGTCCACTTGATCAGCCATGTGACAAAAATACACCTCAACAATCCCCAACTTCAAAGCATTACAAAAGTTTTAAAATGTCCCATCACTTTGTATATCTAATAGAAAGTCACTTCTACGTGGCCTAATATAAAATATGTAACTTGTAGTATACCCTAGCTCTTTAATGTCATTAGTTAGTTCAAATTAGGACATCCTATCCACATCCATATCGAATATTTCAGTGATTTCTCTACCCTCATATAGTGGTTTACGACTCCTACTGTTCAAAATTCCACCATGATAATATCTCATTGTTATATATGTTAAAGCACCCATTTATGAAATTATGTCACATTCACATTATATAAATATTAGAAATTCAAGAAAACAATCGATTCTTACAAATCAAATAATTTGGGGAAAATGGATTATGTTATTTAGACTAAGAAAAAAACGTAATTTATCTACTCATACAAGTGGTATGTATATACAACTCAACCATAATGAAAGTATATTGTAATTAGTCACAACTACAAGACAAAAAAATTGACTAGTAAAAACACTAATTTATCAACTTCAAATCAACAATAACATCAATAGTAACCAAATTTTAGATTATTTCTAATGAAAAATTCAATTTTAAGGTTAGATGACACGAAAAAGGACTAATATGCAGGTTACTGATTTAGAAATGTAGGGGGGAAAAGGACTAACCTTCAAGTTATGCAGGTTACTGATTCAGAAATGCAGGTTAAGGAACACCAGAACAATCACACCTCCACGATTTCATCCACGCTACCAAGAACTATCACACATCCATGTTACCACGACAAATTTAGCAACACGATTGAGAAAAGTGAAGAAAAATGAGTCCCTTTGTCAGATTTGATAGATGAAAAAGGTTTGAGAAAGAGGAAGGTCAACAATTGAATACACAACCACCTTTTTTGACTTTTTAATTTATCCAATGTCCAAATTAATTTCTTAAAATTAATTAATTAAACTAATTGACTAATTTAATTAATTAAATGACACTTTTGAGACAATCACTTTCGATTGACTGAGTAGTAAGTGGTCCAGCTGGGAACATATATACCTTTAAAATACACTATTAAATAGTGCAGAGAGTAATAGGATCCACCCAAAGTTTGGGATTATTACAATAATGTTCGTCAAAGTTCAAATATATTTTTTGATCATTTTCCCTTATTTTACATAGAAAAAAATCGAAAATAGCTATAACAAACAAAACAAAAAAAATATAAATACAAATACAAAGAAAGTACAAGAAATTATCTTACTCTCTCTCTCTCTCTCTATATATATATATATATATATATTTGTCTCTGCCTATGTATGAGCGGAATATGGTAATAATTTCTACTAAGGGAAAATGGAAAAGGCCAAAACTTGAGTAAATAGATAAATGATCCCCCAACCAATTAGCAGATTCTCAACTACACACTTATACTTTACGGGGTGGCTATTACACCCTTGGACTATTTTAAAGTGGAATAAATAATCCCTTAAGTGTTGAGTTAGCACAGAGAGTACATTTCACTCTCTTTGAGAGAGTGAGAAGCAATAAACATGTAAAACAATTATTTTATTTCTGTTATAATTAAATAATTTATATATTTTATTATTATTCTATTTATTTATTTCTTAAAATAAAATTGCCTCCCCTTTTATGGAGGTAATTAGTTTTTTTCACCCACTTCCATGGTAAAGAAGAAACAACAGTCTTAACACTTCCATCTCCAAAATATTAACGGCGTTGGCGACGGCGTGGAAATAATCGAAGGAGAAGAGAAAGCCAAAGAACTAAGAAGATAAATTTATCGGCAACTTTTTAATCTCTTCTTTTTGTCCAATTTTCTTCATAATTTACCTCATTTTTCATCTTTTACGTATATACAAATCAATCTTTTGGATTGCCCAAAAACAATTATTAGATATGTAATTTTATTTACACACATTTTACAATTAGAGAAAGAAATAAAATAAATTCAATTCCTTGGTCATCTTCGGTAGAAATGTTGATTTTTTAATTTAACCCATTTCATCAATTTGTATTTCTAACAATATATATTAATGATTTTTATCCAGATTTATCATTAGATTAAGATTCTTGATAAGATTTTTCAAAATTCTGATCCTCTTTTGAATTTTTAGCTATCACTAGAAGAAGCTTTGATGTTGTTTTAATGGTGAAAAATAATTGAGGTTAATGGAAAGAAGAATGAGAAAGAAAGTAAATAAAAAATACACATGTTAAACATGGGTTGGTGTGTGCGTTTTACTTCACACAATAAATCTAGCTATAACATTTTAGGGTAAAATTAATTCCATTTTGAAATGGTCTAAAAGGGTAATAGGACCCCATAAAGTATAGGTATGTTGTTAGAAATTTAGTAATAGATTGATGGGACATTTGGCTATTTTCTCCTAAAACTTCATAGAGTATAGAACAAGAGGCCTCAGGCATACTAAAGGCACAGTGCACCGAGGAAACAAATAAAAAAAATAATGGCACACAACATGGCACAACACACCAAAACTAGTTATGCAAAAAACTATTTTTGGGTCCAAGTAGGGATGTGCATTCGGTTTTTTGGTTTGGTTTTGTACTATTCGGTTTGGATTTTTTGGATTTTTGGCTTTGAAGAAGCGTAACCCAATCCAAACCAAAATAAATTTGGTTTGGTTTTTCTCTTTTTGGTTTGGGTTTTTTCGGTTCGGTTAATCGGTTATGTCAATAATTAGAAACATAACAAAGTTATAACATAAAACATAATACTTAAAAGTATATTAATTATAGATGTTCAAACATAAAAAAAATAAACTAAATCATAATGAAAATAACTAAAAGGGACAAAAGTGGTTACTCCAACTTAATTCTAAACACACACACGTATATATAAAAAAGAGAACCTTAGGTCCGCCTATGTGGCGCCACCACAAACAAGAATTCTCTTTTAATTTATTTATTTACAAAACTAGCCTTCTCCTTTCATGAAAAAATGTGACATTTATGAAAAGTTGCGACTTTAATGAAGAGTTGTGACTTTTATGAAAGGTTGTAACCTTTCCGAAGGGTTGCAACTTTTC